AAAAAAAAAAAAAAAAAAAAAAAAACAAACCCTGAATCCTGGGGTAGTATTTAGACTGAGACCTTCCAACATGTCAAATCCTGCCCCATCAAGAAAGGCTTCCCTGATGTTACCCCGAGCCATTATGGGCCCATAGCTCTTTAATCATGTGCACTATCTTGGGCACCAACCCTTCCCAACCCTGGTTTCTTCGTGTTACTATCATCCCATGTAAGTCCCAGTCCCCACTGGGACTGGGTTGTGCAGATCTGCTGAGTCAGCACCTAGTCAGGGCCTGGTACCTCCGTAGGGACCAACCAGGCCCCAAGACCTTCACCTGCCCCTTCTCCCCCCTAGGAAACAGTCTGACTACTCAAGTCCCCAGCTCTCTACCAGGGCCACATCACTTAGGGCCAGCTTGTCTGTCTCTCCCCTGGCATGAATCTGTGCGTGCCCTACCTGCCCCAAGGGCCCTAATCTTGCTAGAGCAGTGACCTCCTATGCTTGCCTCCAGGGCGCCTTCTCTTCATCCTCTCTGGCCCTCAATCCCACTGGGCCAGCACAGAGCTCCAACCCCTCAGAAACCCCATCGTCCTTGCACAAGAGGGAAAACGACAGGACAAAGTTGGAGTCAGGCCAGAAAGGCTAAAATGGGAAAGAGAAAGCCGAGGGGGAGAGCAACCAAGATAGTAACAGAAATCCAACCTGAAGAACAGAGCAAAAGCAGATTAAAAATAAATTCTCAAAGCCTCAGAGACCTTTAGGAAAATATCAAAAGGCATCCCAGCAAGACCAAAAAAAAAAAAAATGAATAGCCAAAATGGACCAAATTTGGTGAAAGACACATATTTACAGATTCAAGAAGCCCAGTGAACTCCAAGCGGGAGAACTACAAAGAAAACCAGCCATCAGAGCCAAACTGCTAAAAACCAGAGAGAGAAGTCTTGAAGGCAGCCAGAAAGAAACAAGACATCACACAAAAAACCATCTCAATACTCCTTCTAATCATAAGCAATAGGAGCCAGGAAACCATGAAAGAACATCTTTAAGGAGCTTGAAACAAACAAAAAAAGACTGGTAACTTGGAATTGTGCATCCACAGAAAACAGCATTTAAGAGTGACGTCAAGGGACACCCAAGGTGGCTCCATCAGTTAAGCGTCCGACCTCGGCTCAGCTCATGATCTCACGGTTCATGAGTTCAAGCCCCACACCGGGCTTTCCACAGTCAGCACGGAGCCCGTTTCACATCCTCTGTCCCCCTCTCCCTCTGCCCCTCCCCTGCTTACTCGCTCTCAAAAATCAAATAACAAAAATAATTCTAAAGAATGAAGTCAAAGCACGTTTTAACATGAAAGAAAACTTGTTCCCAGTAGATCTGCACGGCACAATTACTAAAGGAAGCTCTTCTTCCTAGAGGGAAAGGGTACCAGATGGAGGCTTGGGTCTTCAGGAAAGAATGAGGCACATCTCGGTAAACAAGTGGGTTTATATTTATACAAAATGCAGGGGTGGGAGTCCCACTATGTCTCCATATAGCTCACCTGCGTGGCAGATACCAAAGCCAGATGGATGGTGGGGAAACAGTAGATTGTTGGACACGTAGAAAGGTGGTGATGTTAGCTGATGGCTCTGGATGCAATCTATTTACTAGAGGAGACCAATGATGCATCTGCTGGGTCAAAAGCTGCTCATGGGGTTCCCGGGCCCCACCCACACCTGTCAGCAGTGATGGTCAGAGCCCTTTCCTTCACGTGGCCCCGGGGAACAGCAGCCCCAAGCCCGTGGCAGGGTCGTTCGGTTCTCTGGCCATCTGTCCTGCTGCATAATGAAAGCACTTCTTCATTCTGGCACCCCCACGGCGTATCCCGCTGCTCCGTTACAGTGGTGACACACAGCAGTCAGGTGCAGGTGTCGCCGAGTGTGGGAGATGGATGCCCCCAGAGGTCAGGACCTTCTGAGGAGGAGACAGCCAGGCAGGACCTCTTCAACACCCTGCTGCCTGGCTTCCAGTTAGGTCGCCAGGAGGCCAGAAGAAGACCAGGACCTTGGTCATGAGCCTCATCTGCCAGCAGCCTCACAGCCTCGAGCCACTCTCCACAGTCCCAGTAACGCAGACCGCACCCTGCCAGGGAGCCACGCCCTCCCTGGTGGTTTTCCCTCCGCCAGACTCACCCTTTCCAGAAGAGTCTATAAACAGCCCATTAATTGATTGCTCCAACTGAGAGTGCTGCTTCCTGCACAGGCTCCAACTGACACACCCCATGTATTCTCCACCGGACCCGCTTCCTGTCTCTGCTGTGACACAACACTACAACCAGGGGTACAAATAACCACGTGTGCAAGTAAAGTATGCACAAGCTATCTGTGGAACACACAAGGGCAGCGTCTACGGGTACATCACACAGGACGTCCACAGCACAGACGGGAACTTTGTGACCAGCGTGAACGTGTACGCGGAACGGGACCCATAACCACCTGCATTACACCAATACCCAAAAGGCACATACGATATACTCCTAGCACACCCGCGTTCAAGGACACGTTCTATGTGCAATGTGTGTGTGTAGAGTCACTCTTCCTGTATATGCTGCAGGGATTACATGCAAGGATTTGAAATTCAACAGCATCCACGCGATCGGAGTTACACGTATGAGAGGAAAGGAAAGCACGTGCACCAGACGTTGGGAAGGCCATCACTCCTTCCCCAGAGAACGAGGCATAAGTCTCTGGGGTCTCACGGAACCTGTGTGACAGTTCAGGCCCTGAAAGACGGGGTTTTCCGTCCACGCGTGAACGAGTGCACCCCGGCCTCCCTGGGTTGGGCGCCATGTTCATTCAACGATTCGTGTGTTTTCTGTCCAGACTGGTGACTGTGCACCAGGACCTGTGCTTGTCACGGGGGATCCACAGGGACTTCTCCCAAAATCTCCCAAGGGGCTCTAGCCAGCCAGCCTGGGCCCAGGGCCCTGCCCAATGCCTGGCACGATGGGTCCTGGGAAGTTGAGGGCACATGGGTGTCCAGGCCACCGAGGACCTCCAGGCTGAGCCGCCCCTGTCCTCCTTGATCATTTCCGGTCCCCCCAACCCCTGGTTAGGACCAGTCCTGGCAGCTCAGGAGCCACATCCCCGTCCAGGCTTTCCCACTAAGTCCCCAGGCTCCCCACGCACCCGGGCCAGTTCCCCCTCCACCTCTGCGCCCTGCAGAGGCAACATAACGTCAGAAATCCCACCGAGGACTACACTGCCCACCCCCCTCCTCCCCCCCCACCCCGTATGAATAACCCATCCTTCTGGCAAAGCAGTGTCAAAAAATGATTGACACGGCATTCAGGAGGCGTGCACAAGGCCCAGAAGAGATACCAACACCAGGTATCCGGTGCCTGCCTCTGGGCTGCAGGCCTGTGACCTCTGCAGGGTCACTCAGTTCACTAGATGGAGGTGGAAGAGGAGGCTGAAAAGGGGACAGTAGACCAGCCTGCAGCCGCCCTGGAGAGGCGGGGTCATCATTCCCCAGCCCTGCAGGTGACCAGCGCTGACCAACACCCAGAGCTCACGAGCCGGAGCATGCACTACTGGGTGCAAACCTCCCTGTGCACAGGGGCACAGCCGCTCATGCTGTCCGTCCACACCCGGCCGTGCCTCCCGCAGACTTTTCCATGTGTGCAGAGTCAGGGACGGACTTGCTTGTGGCCCCAGCGCTGGCCCTGACAGGCTGCTTGGGTGGCTGCTGGGTGTGGGGCCAGCCCTGGGGCCTGCTCACAAGGACAGTGCCCAGTCTGAAAAGCTGCCCCCGGTGCTGCACCCCAAACACCATGCTCCCTGAGTTCCCAGGCGCTGAAGCTCCGACGAGTCACCCGTGAACCCGTCTGAGGAGGTGACCCATCCTAACCTCCCCAGCCCTTGCCGCATCCTCACCCCCAGCACCTGCTGTAGCCTTAGCCTGCCGACCACTGCCAAGGCTCTACCCCCGCATCTAAGGTGTTTGTGCAGTGCCATGGGGTGCCTGGGGCTGGCCAGG